AGGGGGACCCCCTGAAAAAAAAAAAAAAAAAAAAAAAAAAAAAAAAAAAAGAAAGGAGGTGGATTAAAAATACAATGACCACAATTTCTATTAGGGAAAACAAGATGCATCTGCATAGTAAGAAGAGAGGGATTTGTTGTTGCCTTAGATAGCACATGGGAAGGACAGAAGAAGGCCTGCAAGGCTGTACCCTGCATGGGAACAGACCATGAGACACCTCAGGGGACAAAACTAATGTGGGTTCAGGAGCCAGAGGACTCAGATTCAGCTGATATCTAAGTAAGAGACATAACAAGAGAGTTTAAGAACCCCTGGCGATGAGCCACAAAATCACCTGTGTTTTGTCAAGCTGGTAAAAGCTAAGTTCTGTTCCTACAGTGAATAACCATTATAATACATGTTCTCAGCTATCCACAGAGCTCACCAGAAAAAAATACATGAAAGTCCTATCAAATTAAACTGCAGGAAAGGAAGTAACTGAGTCATTCACTTACTGGCTCATGTATTATTCAAAAAGTATATATTCTGTGTCCATTGAGGCACAGGGAGAAACCCAAGAAGATGGTTCTGGGTTTGCATTTCATAAAACAATTTCTAGGACAATGCACAATGTGCAGAGAGCAAGTGAGTCAGAGAAGTCTGTGGAATAGCTTTCTCTCCTCACAGTTCTCAGATGAGCTGACATTTGTTAATCACCACTCTTAGTTTTCACGTTACAATCTGAAGCAGATGTCAATAGAGCTGAAAAACATGGCTGACCTAGGAAACCACAACTTAGATGCTGTCTGTTGTAATCAGGAAGTGGCACTGTAAGGGAAATCATCAGATTCAGAATCAGGACAAGGCTCTAGTCCTGGGCTTGCTCTGCTGAGCTTTGTGATGGGGAGTCACTTGTACTGTCTGGGCTGTCTTTTTGTCATCTGTAAAATGAGAGGCTGAATCAGATGATCCCTGAGGTGTCTTCCTGCTCTAGGATATTTTTGTTCTTAAGCTTTATAGTAAAAAAGTATTGTAAGTTAAATATTTTCTAGCGTCAGCAGTTTTAAAAAATTTAGTACCCATTCTGAACATTTAAAAATAGACACCTGAAAATAATTCAGATACCAGACAAAAAGTTCTGAAATCCTAAAAAAATATCATCACATTATACTATTATGAAATCTCCATTTAGTGCTTTTATATTTAAACTGTCTAATTGGAATGGAATCCTGAGTTCTCCAGATTTTTCTTCTACAAGTTTCTTCTGACATGTAAATCTCACAGGCGGCTTTTAACTTTAATATCTCAGTTTCCACTCACTCCTGTGCCCTTACATTGTCTCTAATTTACATTCATCACCCAACAAAACCTCCCATCATTCACTTTTTTTCAGTAAGTTGTCATCTTATTTCCTTACACTAGGTCCTGGGATTCTGAAAGCAAAGTAAGAGTTTTTTCTATATTGACTTTTGTTTCCCTGAAAATTTAACCCAGCATACTGTAGAAAAGGGTCATCCTCCTGCTTGAAAACTTTTAGGAATCCACCTTCATAACCAAAGAATGCCTAAACTCCTTCTGGCACATAAAGTTTCTCAGAAGCTGAGAAGCTGATGAACCTGACCACTGGCTGAGCGTCTTCAGCCAATCCAGATGGCTATACTTCATGCCATCACTCCACAGCCCCATCTCCATCCTAAACATCTTGCTTACCCACCTTGATGTAGCCTTTCCTACATAATCTAAGGAGCCTCCTTGGCTAGGGACATTTCTTGCTGCCATGTTCTTAGCAGCAGAAGGGAACACATTCATCACTTTGTAATACTGCTGAACACCTGCACTGTTTCTACATCTTGTTTTCTCACACAACAGTTCTTTGAGGACAACATGTCAGACTCCTACATAAATTCCTAGGGCCTGATGCCATCACATAGTTGCACAGCTATGCCTTTCCACATAACAAGTCTTCCACATACCAGTCACTTAACTTTTCATATCCTGAATGAATGACAGAGCTCTCAGTAATGATTACATATAAGAACATAATGGTTCCTCCTACATCTCGATGACACTTATTCTAAAATAAAATAATGACAGGCCAAGAATGTGAAGTCCAGTAGTAAAGTATGTGCACATGCAAGGCCCTGGGCTCAATAGCCATCACCATCAAATAACAAAAACCCAGAATACAAAGTTAAACTTGGAAATGAAAAGGGAAAATGGATTTAATTTTAAGATGATAGAATAAAGAAAGCTTTATTTGAAGACAAAGTCTGTATGATATAGTACCAGCAAAGTGGGAATTGATATAAAAATAAGGTATGGGATGAAAGACAGAAATGTGGAGGAATCACTCCTGGCAGGTCAGCCCTTCCAGATGGATGTTCCCTGTGTCTTTATTAACATAATATGTTCACACAGAGGTTTCTATCAATGAGAATTACTGGAGTATAAACCAAACTCTCTCCTCAGAATTGTAAAGTGGTACAAGGTATAATGAATGCTGTTCTCTCAGCATCAGGAAAAGAACTCATCTTTCCTTTAAAGAAAGAAAACCAGGTATACTAGTACATTTTAACCAGATAATTTGGTTTGCTTCTAATTTTTGTTTAATTTTTTTTTCCGGTTGGGATGTATCATAGGAAAACTGATCACTGTATTATAATGGCTAGGATGATTCCAGTGAACAGCGTTTTGGGAGTTTATTTCTGAGTTCTTCAGAAGGAAGATGTCCTAGATAAACATACTAGAAGGATTTTCATAATGTAAGTAATGTTACCTGTTTTCTTCCCTAAGTTCATTCTCCAAGGCTTTGGTCTCCCGCTCCAACTTCTGGGATCTTGTATGGTCTCTCCAGGCTCGCAGGACCTTCAGCTGAAGCTTCCAGTCAGACAAGGTTCCAGCCTTCCCCAGCTTAATCCTATGATCCAGAATCAGCTTGTGCCAGGCAGAGAAATACCGTTTTTGACACTGAAGTAGAAACATTTGGAAAATCACCACCAATCAGTGCTTGTGTTTCAAATATCTAATACTAAGAGCCCGGTCCTTAGAATCTCTCCTCACACATTTTCTAACATTATCTATTATCTGTGATTCTGACAGAAGAGCAAAAAGCACAATTCCTTTAAGCTTACATTAATAAGAAATATTCAAGTCAGGCAACTGCAGAATGCTCAGCTTCCTGGCTTAAAACTAAAATACTAAATTCTCATTGGAAGGCACCTATTCTGTGGGATGTTGGGACAGCAGGTTGCACCTAGGACATGAACTAAAGGCTTTGGGAAGCTTGAAAGACCTGCTTCCAACATGCTCTGCCCTGTCAAACATCTTGAAGCTTAAAATATGAAGCATTTAATTCAGTCCTATCACCAATACCACTAATGCTCACACAATGTTCACACAAGTGAACATGGGAATTCCCAGAACAGAAAGGGGCCTCTGGTCCCTGAAAACAAGATAGCTAAAAAGGATCATTTCAGCTGGGTTACCCCTAACTATTAGGGCTTTCTGAGAAGGCCTAGAGAGACTAGATGCTTATGCAGTCATATACATATGCAGTCAATTGCAAATTAGACAAGGGTTACCAACCCTAGAAGTGTCCCAGAGTGTACTTTACTGAAGATCCAGATTTAAGAAGAAAATCACTGCAACCCAGTCCTTGTCTATATTTTCTATCTTCATAGAAAACATTCTGTTCCTTCTAGATCAATCTACTTTTATCTTTTGGTCTCAACACCAACCATACTACCTCATACTTTCCTATCCATCTTCACATTAATTCCTGTCTTTCTTTTCTGCCCCTTCTCAGGATCCTTCAGGACTTACCTCTCTCAGGAAGTTCTAGTACCAATGCTCTCCCCAACTGTGAGTACTTCTCCCACTGTATTCCCAGAGCAATCTATGCTTTCTTCAGCCAAAACAGTCACTACGCTTTATCACAATCCTGAGATAATGCATTTCCACTAGACTGTAAACCTCCCGAGAGAAGGGAATAAGACCCACAAAAGGAAACATCAAACTTGGCAGGGGCTCTAAGTGTAAGACTGACAGGAAGTGTTTTTTTTTTTATCAGAAATGCGGGTTTCAAAGATTTTAGCCTGACCAGTCCTATTCACTGCTTCTTTTGTAAATAAAAAACTTATGCCATTTCAACATTTACTAAACACTGGGCATGGTGGTGCACACCTTTAATCCCAGCACTTGGAAGCAGAGGCAGGTAGATTTCTATGAAACTGAGGACAGCCTGGTCTACACACACACACACACACACACACACACACACACACACACAGCCCATACTGTTTATTACTAACATCACACATCTCACACATATACTGTGTCATTCTAGAACAGAGGGGGCAAATCAGTCTCTTCCTCATAGAGTCATCAGCTGACGTGAACGACCCTCACTGGGGCTGGCAAAATGGCTCAGTCAGTAAAGGCGCTTCTTGCCTTTCAAGCCTGGCAACATGAGTTTAATCTCCAGTACCCTTATAAAGATAAAGGAAAGAACTGACTCCACAAAGTTGTCTTCTAACCTCTACACATGTGCCCTAGCATACAGACCCACCTACATACATCATGAACATACACAATAATAAAAGATTTTTAAAAGAAATAAAAAACCAATAAAGACATATAGTTAGACTTCTTAGAAATACACTATTTGGCTAGAACTATTTTCCCCCCTTTTCTTCTTTTTGAGAATTTCATACATGAATTTGTATTTGTATTATTTCCATCCCTCCCAGTCCCCCTCCAATTCCTCCCATATCTCCCTCCCTTCATACCTTCCTCCCGCTCAATTACTTGGCCTCTTATTATTATTACATATATGTACACACATACACACACATATAAAATGTATTGAGTTCATTTATTGGTGCTTGTGTGTACAAATGTTTAGGGCTTCCTACTTGGGATTAGATAGCCTCTCAGGGAGCTAGTCCCTGGAGAAAATTCATTCTCTCTCCCTTACTATCCATTGATTGATTGCCTGTAGCTCTTCGTCCTGAAGTGGGATCCCATGAAATTTTCCCCAACCAAACTGGCATGTGAACTGGTTTTATCATTATGCAGATCTCATTAGACGACCACACTGTGGAGATTTCATGGTGCAGCTTCCCTGTCATGTCTAGAATGCATTCACTAGCATCAGAGGTCCAGAATTATTTTTCTGTACAGGATATCAGTTATAGTGTCATTTAGACAAACACACAGTATTATAATTTCTCCTTGGGAGAAATCACAAACAACCACAAAGCCCTTATTCCCTTTGCATCACTTCAAATGATATTTTCCAGACCCTCACCTCAAATACATTGGAAAGGTGTAAGAAAAGGAGGAAAAAAGGGAGGGAGAAGTGAGGAAGAGAAGGACAAGTAGATGACTATAGGATATGCCTTCAGTCACAGTAAGACACAGCTGCCAGATGAGAAGTATGGGTTGTTTGTTTGTTTGTTTGTTTTACTTATTTTACAGCACTTAAAAAATGTTATCTGTGCCACTGTCAAAAGAAAATATCCTGTGTCTATTTACCAGGTTCATTAACAGATTCTTCTTGGGCTAGAGGTACAGCTTAGTAGCAGAGCTCTTGTTTACCATGTGCAAGACCCTGGGTTTAATTTCCAACATCATAGAAAAAAAAGAGGAGAATGAATTTCTCTTCATTGATGAAATAGTATATGTATACCTGTTTCTAATTTTTCAACTCCTGGACTATTTTTTATAGTGAAATAGTACAAACAAAATACAACTTGATAAAAATACTACTTCTAGTATCCTTGAATTCTATGTCCCTCTTGTCAATAAAGTTCAAAGCAACTTGTAATATTATTTTTTTAAACATTAAAAAAAGATTTATTTTTATTTTATGTGTATGAGTGTTTTGCTTGCATGTATGTAAATGTGCTGTGTGTACAGTGCCCACAGAGGCCAGAAGAGGACGTTGGAGCCCCTGGAACTGGAGTTAGGGACAGTTGTCAGGCACACGTGGGTGCTGGGAACCAAACCCACCTCCAGTGTTCTTAACTGCTGAGTCATTTCTCCGGTCCATATTTAATTTTTAAATTATTTATTTACTGGTATTAGAGATCAAACCAGGACTTATGCATGCTAAGTAAGTAATATACCATTAGGTTACATCCCTAGCTCTTTATTTTTTCTAGACATGATATTTTTTAATATTTATTATTTTTATATGTATGAGTGTTACGCCTTCATGTAGGTAAGTGCACCTGTGTCGTACAATGCCCGCAGAGGACAGAAGAGGCTGTCAGATCCCCTGGAACTGGAGTTATGGACAGTTGTTAGCTGCTATGTGGTGCTGGGACTCGAACCTGGGTCTTCTGCAAGAACAGTCAGTGTTCTTAACTGCTGAGCCATCTCTCCAGACCTGATGTACTATGTTATTAATCTTATTTTACATTACAAAAGAGAAATTGCGAGCATTTTCATGATTTTCCTCACCAAGTTAAAACTTTACAGAAATTTTGGATGCTTCAATTCACAAAGTAAAGCATTCATGTTAACCCTGAGGCTGAAACTCAAACATTCTGACATTTGGATGACTCCAATTTATCAGGTAATTTGTCTATACTAAAAGTGATGGGCACATTCTTTGCTTCTTTTATAATGAAAGAAAACTCTACACACAGCTCGCTATGGTAGAAAAACATCTGTTAGGAACTTTTCTAAATTTAGGAGAGGAAAGTTTGGGTTTATAAACTATGTAATCAGTGTGTTTCTTTTTTTTTTAATTAGTTTTTATTGAATTTTTGTGCATTTCGTAAAGAACATCTCAAACAATCTTAATCATCTTTAAACTCCCACCCCCACCAGCATCCCCCCATACACCCTTCCCACACTGGAGTCCATATACTCTGTCATCCCTGTTAAGTCCCACTGTGTCAAGTCAGTGTCCCCAGGCATTCTCCAGTGCAAGCCCATCCACTAGTCAGCTAATCTAGAGGTCTAGTCAGCTTATCTAGAGACACTTGTACATCCATGTTTGTTGCTGCTCTCTTCACAACAGCTAAGAGATGGAACCAATCTAAGTGTCCCTCAACTGATGAGTGGATAATGAAAATGTGGTTCATTTACACAATAGAGTTCTACTCAGTGGCAAGGAACTCAATGTATTTCTTTATAAATACCAGAGTTAAGACTGAGAGCAAAACAGTTGGTTTTAAGGGTCAGCTTTATCACAGAAGTTACCAAGAGCAACGTGACAGATTCCTAGAGCACTGCTTTAATAAAAATGA